GCGGCTTCATCGTCTCCAGCGCCGCCTCCTCCATGTTCCACGACTTCTGCCTCGCCGCCTCCGCCGCCCTCCCCGCCGTCATCGCCTCCGTCGAGTACCGCCTCGCGCCGGAGCACCGCCTCCCCGCCGCCTACAACGACGCCGCCGAGGCGCTCACCTTCATCAGAAACAGCAGCGACGAGTGGCTCACGAAGCACGCCGACGTCGGGAACTGTTACCTCATGGGGAACAGCGCCGGGGGGAATATCGCCTACTTCGCGGGCCTACGTGCGGCCGAGAGTGCCCTCGATCTCGCGCCCTTGAAGATCAGAGGGCTGATACTGCGGCAACCGTTTTTCGGTGGGACCCAGCGGAGTGGGTCGGAGCTGAGGCTTGAGTACGATGATGTTCTTCCGTTGAGTGTTGCGGATTTGTGTTGGGAGCTGGCGTTGCCGGTTGGCGTTGACACTGATCACGAGTATGCGAATCTGAGGGCTGAGAATTCGGTTGGGAAATTGGAGAGGGTGAGGGAGTTGGGGTGGAGGGTGTTGGTGAGTGGGAACCATGGGGACCCCGTTGTGGATCGTGGTCACGAGTTGGTGAGGGTGTTGGAGGAGAATGGTGTGGAGGTTGTGAATGATTTTGATGAAGAAGGGGGTCATGGAGTAGAGTATAAAGATGCCGGCAAAGCAAAGAGACTCATTGAGGTTGTCAAACGTTTCGTTTCATCCGTGGCTACCTAGGGTGATTGATTATATGAAAATAATACATTGTACGTGTGTCTTTCATTTACAAGTTTCACAACCCTTCTTTAAAAGCAAAGAGCTTTTAAAGTGTTTTATTTTTAAAAGCACTGTATATCCATGATTGAACCCTTCTTTGATGAGCTTATCAGAAGAGATGACTAACTTTGCCTTGTAAGGGATATTATCAAATCTGCAATTACATAGTGGTGTTTGGCTTCAAACTTCACTACAATAGAAAACATTTTTCTATACCATCATATAAAAATGTAGTATGAAGTCATTTTCAAGTCAAATCAAGAATTGTTTTGCATAACAAAAATTATCAAGTCCAACACAATAGTAAAGAGGTGGCCTTATTGATTAAAATCAACACAATTGAAGATAATTTCTCCTACAAATATAAACAAAATAAACTTAATCCATGTTAATTAAAAAAATTAGTTAGTGTTTTATTTAACTGTATCAATTTCATTTATAAAATATTTTTTCTTCTAAATTTCCCTTTATTCAAACTTAAAGCTTTATATTGAGAATAAATTTAATCCTTGTTAATCATGCACAAAAAAGTTTAAATATTTATTTATTGTGATAGTGTAACCTAGAGCTAATGGGCTGGTTCTTTTTTTTCTTGTGTTATGCAGCCTCACCACGGGTTGAACTCATGATGAGTTGGGTTCTTAGTGGGTCGGGTTCAAAATTGACCTGTATTAAAACTTGCAAAAAAAATTTAGTCCAACTAGCCCAAACCCATGGTGAACCGGGTTGGCTCACGAGTTCTGACCGATTTTGATGACTCTAGTAGGGTATAGTATAGTAGGCAAGTAATTTATGTTCACTTGTTGTGAAAGCAGTCCATTTAGCGGATTACTTGTGTTTGATTATGTGCACAAATTTATCAAATAAGTAGAATTAGTTCTTGATATATCGAGCTAAAAGATACCTATACAAAAAAGGCTGTCTAAGCATTTTAATGTAAAAACAAGCACACCTTATATATACTAGCAAAGACTGTGTTACAGTTGCTTAATTATTTTTTTTAGATTTAAATATGTTTTTAGTCTATCAAATTTAAGATAAATTTATTTTTAATCTTTCAAATTTGAAATTGATTTTTCAACCTTTTTAGAATTTTTAAAAGTCGTTTTAGTCCTTATATTTAAATTTTGGTGAGAAATATATAAAATATTATCTCATAAACTTTATCCACAAAAATTAAAAAATAATAGTTTTAAATTTGAGAGACATAAATAAATTTATATTAAATTTGAGGAATTATAAATATATTTAAACCTTTTCTTTATATTGTAATGTTTATAAATGTCAAAATTAGCTTAGGAAAATGCTAGAAGTGGTTTATGATTGTAATGTTTAACACTCATATTTGAGGTGCTCGTTTAGGTAGTATGGTTTAGTAAAGTGTTGGGTTAGTTGCGTGGTTAGGTTTTGGGAAGGAAAGGTGTGATGTGAGATTTCTCTAGAGCGGAGGCATTGAACCTCTTTTTAGAAGTATTTAGAGAAAATTCAGGAAACATTTCCTCCTATCTTCTAGAGAATCTCTCTTCCTTATTTCTTCCTTAAAGCTAAGCATACTATATTGGCAGAAAGATCCAAGATTGTGGAGCTAAAGATCAAGATTTCCAAGAAAGGTGAACCCAAAATTGAAAGATGTTCATCTCTCCTTTTTTAGAGCATGCATGTTTCATTTGAACTAGTTTGCATGTTGAATACGTTGTTTAGAATCGTTTTGATGGTTTACATTTGAGTTTAGGTCTTGCAAATGAGTTTGGTATGGATTAAAGAGGATTGGAAACCCCAAATATGCGAAAAACAAAGAGGATATCTGTCATGAAACGATTGAGAGAAATTGGAAGTGAAAATTAGGGGTGGCTTTAAAAGGGATCCGTTGAGTGATTTTAAAATGGTTGAGCAATTTAGTACTTTTTGAATTAGATTTTGTTGTCTTCATAAAAGTTGTAGCCCTAGATGTTAACTTTCCAATGGCTTTGGAATCACCTAAAATGTAGGTATAAAACTCTAATTATGATCTTTTTAGTGAACAAAGGTCAAACTATCAACATTTAGGCAAATTGCTGCGATTTTTGTGATTTTCAATATAGTGCACAGTTATAACTTGAAGTCTTCATAAGAGTTGTAGATAATATTTTTGGCTTTCATATGAGATAATGATAAACTTAATACAAGTAGTATAACTCTCTATGTGATATTTTATGAAAGTTGACTTTGATAAGTTGTATGTTGATACATATGATATGATGTTTTAAGTTATCTTATAATAGTTGAATGAGGATATATGATTTGTATGATGGATTATTTATGATGCTAATTATATTGTTAAGGCGAACAATGGTCTATGAATAGGTTGCATATGCTTGAATACTGTAAGTTGGTTGACGTGTACATGATAAGAATTATATGATGTTAAGTTATTGGAGATGTGTGATGCAATGGTATGTTGATAATGTAGAGGGTTGTAAATGTAAAATGTGATGATGTATATGTTGTAAAATGGATGTTGATAGCTATTAAAGTTGAAAGCTATAAAGTTGTTGCGTATACAATGTTGTGTTTATTATTGTCGTTAAGTTGAAAGTTGGTATGCATATGCTAAAAGATGATTAAGTTGTAAAGATGTAAGTTGATATAATATTACGTTATTGTGTACTTAACATGTAAGTTAAATGATGTTTAAGTTGGAATGGTGTACGATGATAAGTTGTTAAGTTGTTAGGCATGTGGTTGTGATACATATCTATGTTTAGATTTATAGGAACTAGAGGAGAGTTAAAGGTATGGCAAATAAACTCGTACCCGTGGGTAATAACCAAACCCGTCCCGACTTTGACGGAGAATACTCGGTTTGACCGGGTACGATATCTTAAATCGGGTACAGGTACGAGATGGGTATGCACATACCCGTCCCTACCTATACCCGTACCCATCCCCGTACCCATCCCCGATTGAATTATGTTAAAAAAATTAATATTTTATTATGTGTAATTATTTATTATAATGTAAAACATTTATAGTTGTTTAATTATTAAGAAATCTCTTGATTAAAATATGAGATAGAGAAATAATTTAATTATAATTATAATATAATGAAAAAATAATTTAAAAATATTTTGTATCCTTTTGTAAAAAAAAATAATATTTTTTTATGGGTACGGGTGTACCCGATACTCGACTGGGACGGGGATGGGGACGAAAATTACACACCCAACAGGTATGGGGACGAAAATTACACACCCAACAGGTATGGGTACGAGTACGAGTATGGGGATGAGTTTGAGTCGCGAGGATGGGTATCATGAAACTCGTACCCGACCTACTCCGTTGCCATCCCTAATTACAATATAGAGACAAGGTCGAGCTATATATTGATTACAAGTGACCAATCGAGTAAAGTATATGAAGTCGAGGACTTATTCTCCAACTAAGTATTAGAGGGTTATGGTATTTCAAGAGTAGTCAGTGAGCTAATCCCATAAGGGGCTTAATGTTGCAAGCTTATATCATGGTAGACCCATATCTATATTGTTCTACCTTGACATAGTACCATACTTTCTAGTTTAAGCGACAAAACCTGAGAAATCAATCTAACTTATGCTAATTGTTGTTTCTAGCCTCACTAGTACAAAAGGGGTAATTTACGTTGGTTATTTAAAACTTTTTACGTCAGAAAAGGGTTCGACGTTAAAACGGGGGAAGTAAATTTACGCCAGTTGTGATGGATGACGTAAATTTATGTCGGACATTATCTAGAGCCGACGTAAAAAAGTGTTGTAAAACAAACAAAAATAGTTGACTATTAACGTCGGACTATACCATCTCCGACGTAAATTTACGTCGGACATGGTATAGTGTAACGTAAATTTACATCGGACATGGTATACACTACAAAAAAATGTGTGATTTGTGGCAGTTATTTTGGCAGTTTCTGGTGGTTAAAAACTGCCACAAATTGCATTACCAGCGTCATTAAAAACCGTCGGATCTACGGTCGCCAAAAAATCGTTTGTGGCGAATATTTTGTAAACGCTGGTTTTGAGAGCCATAAAATTCAATCTCTTTCTGGCGGTTCCAAAAAATGCGTTTTGGTTTGACTTGTTTGACATTTTCTGGCGGTCTAAAACCGCCACAAAATTGGATTTATATTTGACTTGTTTGTCATTTTCTGGCAGTTTTAAACCGCCACAAAATTCATTTTAATTCTACCCATTCAAAATTTCTGACGATTTTAAAACCTCCACAAAATTCTTATTATTTTTACTTGTTTACATTTTCTGGTGGTTTTAGATTGCCAACAAACATATTTTTTTTATTTTTTCGCATTTTCTGACAATTTTAAACCTTCAAAAATACACTTTATTTTACGGTAATTTTTTATTTTTAAAATATATTTGAAATTATTTTAAAAACGCATTTTTATTATAAATTGACAAATAATATTCTATATATTTTAGGCATTTATCAAATTATTATTTAAAATTATCACTAACCATATTAATCATTAAAAATTAATAATGACTATATTATTATATTGTTATTTAATTCAAGTAACTTATAAATAAAAATTTTACTTGTCAAATTCTAGGATCACTTATTTTAATAAATTATACCTATAATTATAATAATATTTATGTGTTTTGTATGTTTCTTGTTCAAATATAATTACATAAAGATACATTAAATTAACAACTTTTAACATTATAAAAAAAAATCAAGACAACATCTAGCCATAGGTCTAGCATGACATTTTTTTTATTATTAAGACATTAACATCCATCAATTCTAAAACATATCCAACATATTAAGTAACTCAAAATCAAATTCATGATCAATGCTCAAAAGTAAAATACGTAAATTGTCCCAAAATTAATCTTGCTTCAAATATAAAAACAAAGGTTCAAATTCATGAGTTCATCATGTCTAAAAAAAACAATAATAATGTCAAACTCCATGAATATTACTATCTAATGAAGATCCTCCTTGTGGTATTGGCATGTCATGTCCACTCCCTTCGTCCTATAAAATACAAATTGTTTAATGTTATCCTTATTAATAATATATGCATAAAATATTAAACTTCAATTAAGTATTAATATAATTTAATTTAGTGCAAAATATAAAACACTTACCGCTACATTATTACTACCACTAACAAACATAGCCTCTAACTCAGTAGGAATATGTCCTTCCTTCATTTGTATGTAAGCAAGCATGACATT